AAAACTGATTTTGGAGTTCACTCTTGATTAACTCCATAGCATAAAATGGAAAGCAGGAACGTTGGCGACAGACGTTAACGTAAAAGTTTGAAAGAGGATGAGGTTCCACCGGCAGGTGCTAGCAATTAGAGAGTGGAGCAGAGGACAGAGAACTGTGAGCAATGGGTTGTGGATTTTTTCCTCTCGACATATTCACTAAAAATTAAAATAAATAATATATATTTGTGTATTTTGGTACCTATTGCTATATGACATCAAAATCAATGCAGTGTATTAAAGGTGTGTCGATTGCAATTATGTGAGGTGTGTCAGAAATCCCGAATTCAGTATTTTGTACCAACGAAACATGGATCTTTCACAAAATTTCCGAGACAAGGTGTGTAGGTTGACACACCTTGCTAATGCATGGGTCCGCCCCTGTTGTGCAAGATTGTATGGAACGCGTGTTGGTTCGTCTCCTTAGCAGCTGATCTTGAGAATTCAGAATGAATGCAGGCTATTTGCAGCAGGAAACTCCGAGGTGGAAAGGCGAATGGGAGTAATAGGATTACTATTGTAATTGTTTTCTCTTTGGATTTACTGTTGTTGTTGATTTCAGCTATTTTGTACGAACAGTGTGAAGTTTAATGTTAATGCATATTTCCGTACTTAATGCAATTTTTTATTACTCATAAAAAAGGAAAGAAACGTTCCCGCAACACTCAAGGAAATGTGGCACGGCTGGTGGTCATTATTTCATATTTTTGTGTTTTTTTCCTTTGTAATCAATGGCTTAAAGTGATTGGGATATATTTTAATGGGTCATATTTAATTAAGGGGCTAATTGTAAGGTTGGTCACTGGGTTTACTAAAAACGTTCATGTTTGATCACTGCAAATATTTAATTCCATTCATGATCATTAATATTAGTTCAATAGTTCAAACTTTGTCAATCTCCGTTAGTTATTGCTGATGTGGCAGTCAACTACTATAGTTGACCGTTAAATGAGTGACGTGGCCATTAAAAAATTAAAATAATAAAATTTAAACATTTATAATTTTCACATCATTTTACAACTATAAAAAAAATAAAAAAAATAAACTTAATTTTTATTATTTAGAAACACCTAAACCTACCCTTTCTTCTCCTCCATCACCTAAGCAAAACGGCTAAAGTTAATCTGCTAACTTGAAGATTCGTTAGCAGATACTAACTGATATCCAAAATACATGAACTAGTATTCAAGTACTAAAGTATCTAGAGAGCACAGACTAGTATTCAAAATTTACTAACTGATATCCACCATGAATCAACTATTATCCCAAATTAACAAACTAATATCTAGACAACACAGAATAGTATCCATACAACACATAATTAGTATCCAAATAACACATAAGAGTATCCAAATAACACATAAGAGTATCCATATTGAATACTAGTTGGTTGATTGTGGATATTAGTTGGTATATGCTATCTGGATACTAGTTTGTGATGTCTTGAATACTACTATGTGCTATCTAGATACTCAGCAAACTTGGATATTAGTTCATACATTTTGGATATTAGTTAGTATATACTAATGAATTTTCAAGTTAGCAGAATAACTAGGCTGAAGCAAAACTACCCTGATCTCAACAGATCTGGCAGCAGCTGCCGGCAGAAAGAAACCTCCAAAATCAAGAGAAGTACTTGAGGAGGTTCGTTCGGCTGAAGAGGATCGAGAGAGACGACGATTTTCGCTACCGGCTGCGAATCGGAAGAAGCGGCGTGAGCTTGAAGGTTTGTGTGATTGTCAAATATCCGCTTCTGTCGTTAAATCGTTGCCGCCGTGCCAAAGTCACCGCCAGACTACCCTGAAAGTCCCTATCTTTCTTCCCTTATTTTTAATTCATCCCTGCATGCAACCCAAAGAAGCCCAACTTCACAGTCAGAGACTGTAAAAATCCTCCGAAAATTTCAAGATGGTGAAACCTCCAAGGGTTGAGAAACAAATTCAAACCTTCGACTTTCCCTCAAAGTCCCAATCTCCGACGTCGTCTCTCCTTTGCTGGGTTGGGTGGGTTTGGTGAAGGGTGGGGAGGCGAGGCGAAGCGGCACGGCGACAAACGGCGAAGCTCGAAGGGACTTCTTCTCCTTTGTTAAAGAGGGGAATCAGAGAGAGCTGAGTCACCCATCTGGTGGCCGAAGGAAAGAGGAACTAAGTAACAGAAACCCAAAAAGTAGCAAAGGGATGGCACGGAATCGACGAAGCAAGCACGAATTCGATGAAGCTGGGAGAAGAATCGGAATCTGGCTAGGTTTAGGTGTTTATAGAATAATAGGAATTAAGTTTTATTTTTATTTTTTAATAGTTGTAAAATGATGTGGAAATTGTAAATGTTTAAATTTTATTTGTTTAATATTTTTATTGGCCACGTCACTTATTTAACAGTCAACTATTATAGTTGACTGCCACATAAGCAAAAACTAACGGAGACTAACGGAGAGTGACTAAGTTTGAACTATTGAACTAATCTTAATGACTATGAGTGGAATTAAATATTTACAGTGACCAAACATGAACGTTTTTAGTAAACCCAATGACCAACCTTGCAATTAACCCTTAAATTAAGTTACCTAACTTGAAATTATACCAAGTTACTGTAGGGAGTCCCAAAATTTTAACATCTACATCCCTTTAGTGATTGATATAAAATTAGTCACCATTACTGAGGTCTCCAAAGGTTTAGCACTGCTCTGATTGCCTAGGCTTTAGGGATGGTATCTTTGCTGAGGGGCCCCCACCAGGGTCGTTTTAAGCACGTCCTAGCCTGCTCGTTTGGGTAGCATCTTTGCTGGTCCAGGCGGGAGTTTGAGAAGCTGCACTGTTACGAGCACTTCTCCGCCATTGTCACCAACCGCCCTTGGCGCCGTCTGCTATCCATTCGCGAGAAGGTTTACCACGAGCCCGTGCTTGAGTTTTATGCGACCTTCAAGCACGCATCCATAGAGGATTGGGCCGACGGTGAAGCCGTCAAGTTCAGGCTCGGCGGTGTACCCCGCTCCATGAGCTACCACGAGTTGGCAACCGCTCTCGACCTCGGCCTGGCCGATGGTGAGGACTACGTCACCGAGCTCAACGATCCGGTGGGCGTGAACTTCAAGACGTTGTACACCCGCCTAGCTCAGCCAGGCCAGTGTCCATTCGTGGCAGGGCGGACGAAGGCCAGCATCCTGCAGCTCGATAACCGCATTCTCCACCACTTTCAGGCGAAGTCCTACACTCCAGCTGGGGAAAGTGCCCGCACCATCACCATGAGAGGCATGTACTTCATCCAGTCCATCCGCCAGGAGGACCATCTTCTCCACTTGGGTTCTGTGGTGGCCAGAACCTTTGAGAAGAGTGCTTCAGAATTGAAGAGCCTCCACTGCACTCCCCTCATCATCCGCCTGGCCGCCTACTTCCAGATATCACTGCACGGTTGCACAGAGAAGGGGAGCACCAGTGCCTTTGGCGAAGATACGATCAAGAGCATGCACCTGCTGCGAGAGGAGCGCAGCGTCAAGTGGATCGCGGGGTTTCCTCAACCTCCGATCCCAGTGGAGGACCAGCCTGATGCTCCTGAGGATGAGGCTGCTGCGGATGACCAGCCCAAGGATGTGGATGATGCTACTGCCCCCCGCCCCACCACCGTCGAGTACGGGGGTAGCAGCTCCGCTTTCCCTAGTCAGGACTACTTCACTCACCAGTTCGAGCAGTTGCGTCTCCAGAATCAGCAGCTCCTCGACCATCAGCTCCAGTTCCAGCAGCAGTATGCGGCTCACCAGGCCGAGTATCAGACTCGGATGGCTGCTTATGATGAGTGCCTGAACTATATGGAGACCCAGCAGGGGGTGACACTGGCTCACATCGAGCGGGAGAAGGCCCGATCTCGACGCATGCAGGAGGTCCAGCAGCACAGGTTTTAATCCAATTTCGGGTCTTTTGAAGAGGGACTCAATTTTTAGAGCTAGAAACAGAGTCCTAGAGAGAGAAATGCGAAGAACACACCCTAGAGGTGATTTTGGAGCTGAGTTCCATCAATCAAGCTTGGATTTCATCCGTCGAGTGAACATTATCATCCCAGAGCAGATTCTTCCCATCTTGATGAGTATGACTGCTTTGTATTATGTTTTCCTCTCTCTCTCTCTCTCTCTCTCTCTCTCTCTCTATGGAGTAGAACCCTCTCTCACTTGGGTATGAAGAACCCTAGTTCCATGTGTTAGGGATATCGATTATAATGACGTTTGGATTGTGATATTGCTTGATTATCAAAAAACATTATTAAAAGTGAATGAAAATACATATTAAAGAATGTATCTCCAAAAGGGAAAGCTCCATATAAGCAGGTACAACTGTATCGCATCGTCTGGTTTTGTTATTGGGAGCTTTGAAAAGCTTATAAATAGTGGAGCTTCTTGTCTTCCCAAACCATGAGGCCTTAGTTTGCATAGGTTGGACATATCATTTCTTGTACTAAACAAATGGCTGGAAATTGGGGGTCGTTATGAGGATTTCGAAACTATGACCTTTCGGTTCTAGACTCTGATACCAATCTCGTCTTTAATTTTTCAAGACAAGGATTTGAATTTATATACTAATCCATATAGTGACTTATTAGTGCCTGTAAATTTTGTTGTTCCTCCTCATATATATATGGAAAAACCATTTCAAGAAACCTGTAATCAGTAGGGAGGTTTGAGCATATTAATCCGAATGCATTGATCAGTATCCTCTGGGCGAATGATTTATTAGCTAAGTCTAGTGATGAGTTATTAACACGCTGTGTTGTAAATCACCAGGTGTGATGTTCACATCCAAATCTCTTTGCACCTGATAGCGCAGCTACTGGTGAGTTTTCTTCATACAAAATAGAGAATGAGAGGGTGGCATCACCGTAACTCGGGTACGAGCTTCTGAAGCAGAACATCTACTTGAACTCCCCTCTAAAATCTATCGTTATATATGCATTGGTCCTGCAATTTCTCAGCTATATTTTGATGAGAACATTTTGGGCTTTTGGTTTTGATACGTTTATGTGTTATGGGTTTGGGTCAATGGGTCTTAGTTCCTTTTGGTTTTGGTTTTCCTTTTGTATTTGGGAATGGGTTGGCCGAGTAGTCTAGGGAGGTTAGTAGGATTTGGGTAGGTTTAGGTCTCGTATTAGGTTTTCTAAGCCTATAAATATGTACCTTTGGCATTAGTTCCGTATCAATCAAATAAATCAAAGGTTTATAGACACCAACGTCTTTCTCTCGCTTGTGAGTTACAAGCAAAACCCTTGAATCGTGGGTTACGTTTCATCAATTGGTATCAGAGCCTGGTTACGCTTCCTATAGGGAAGGGTGACATGGTCCACGACCTAGGCCCGTACCGCGCCCTTGCACGCAATGCGAAGATAGCGCTCGAGCAGACCAAGGTCGCCTGTGCACAGCTAGCAAAATCGCGTGAGAGGTTCACAGCATCTGCCGAGAACGAGAGCTGAACGGAAACCGCGTCGTCATTCCCGAAGGAAGGCGCAACGACGACAACGTAGCCCGCGTTGACGCCAATGAAACCAGGGCGGCGGAGGATACCGCGATCTCCGTCAACAAAATCGATGGGAAGGAAATAGTGCTCGTGGGTGAACAACGCCTATGTGAGGCTATCATCCCTCAAACCGAGGGCTACCGGAAGGAGGTCACCATTGAAACTCTGTCAATGGGAGGCGAAGCTATCGTTCGTGATGGAAGCTCTCCTGCGCCACTCAGCAAGCAGCCGATAAAGTGCTATCCGCGGGATGGTCTTTCTAATTTTGATGGACATGGAATGGTTTTGCAGCAGCCAATTGTGGTCCGCCCACATAGGCATGGAAAGCCTATTTTTGCTTGGGGCAAAGAAGATAATGGTGAGGGAGGGATTTCCCTACTGTGTCCGTGCACCAAGTCAGGTGGGGTTACAAAAACCATAGGCCGCCGCGCCGATGACCAAGCTGCGAGACCAAGAGTCTCATCCAATGCGAGGAGGAGGATTAGAGGTTGAAGCACCAGCTAGAAGTTCCGGAAGCGACGCAAGCCTCGCCGTCGAAAGAGCTGTTGTTGCCATCGACGTCGACCTCCGCGTCTCGGTATATGGACCGAACCTTGGGGACCAAGGTTCTTTGAGGGGGAAGGATTGATGAGAACATTTTGTGCTTTTGGTTTTGATACGTTTATGTGTTATGGGTTTGGGTCAATGGGTCTTAGTTCCTTTTGGTTTTGGTTTTCCTTTTGTATTTGGGAATGGGTTGGCCGAGTAGTCTAGGGAGGTTAGTAGGATTCGGGTAGGTTTAGGTCTCGTATTAGGTTTTCTAAGCCTATAAATATGTACCTTTGGCATTAGTTCCGTATCAATCAAATAAATCAAAGGTTTATAGACACCAACGTCTTTCTCTCGCTTGTGAGTTACAACCAAAACCCTTGAATCGTGGGTTACGGTTCATCATATTTATGCATGTTGACATCTGCGTGCTACTGCTGAAGGATTATGAACTGGCAAGGATGTTGACAAGGGTCATTGTTTCAACATGATTTGGCTAAATTGCTGAATTTTTAGGTTGTTAAGGTACTATCATAGTGAAAGCAGAATTTCAGTACTGTATGTAGACAATTAATGTACATTTGTCATGTGTGTCTCTGACTGCAGGAACTTATTGTCTGATCTTATGTTTTTTTTTTATTTTTGACAAGAGGACACTGAATTTCATTACTTTAGTAGGAGCCAAGTGTTACAATAGGGGTGAGACTACATCCAGAATCTGAATCCATTCATTAGGTAACGAATTCCTGGCACAAGATCTAGCAACCCAATTCGCTTTTACATTGCTCTTGCGACCTATATGCGAGATTCGGACAAGGGGATAGGACACCATCAATTGCTTGATAGAGCAAATCCAAGCAGCAGCTCTCCATGGCCATTCCTTCTGATTTTCCTGCAGAGCATTGACAAGAGGCAGGCAATCCGAACGAACAAGACATGTAGAGTGTAACTCAGTAGCCATGAGAACTCCGACCAAAAGGGTCTTGGCTTCAGCTTCAAGTGGGGAAAAACAGTGCAAAGTCTCAGCCTTACCATCGCAAACTTGACCATGGTTGTTCATAATAATGACGCCATATGCCGCCTCCTGGGAGTCACTGAAAAACGACCCGTCGCAGTGTATCTCAAAGTTATGAGTACTTGGCGGTGATGAAGAAAGTTCCGGTGTTGGGGTAGGCTGAGTAGATACATGAACTGTGGTAGGCTTCTTGGGGCAGGTGATCCACTGGTGGAGTGCAAGAGCTGCCTTCGCGATCGTAGCTGGGGGCCAGAGGGGGGAAAGCTTGAAAATCCTCTCATTCCTTGCTTTCCATGTCTGCCACAGGTAGAAGATAATTTTTTGGATAAAGATAAGAGAGAACCTTGGGGCCAGCGACGTAAGCCATTCCAGGAGAGGGACGCCAGGTGTAGGAAGAGGAATTGTTGCCATTCCTGCCTCCAACCTTCCTCTGCATGATGACAGGTGAAGAGGCAGTGGTGGATAGACTCCGCTGGATGGGCACAGAGAGGACATGACATGGATGGTGAGCATTTCCTGGCATGAAGGTTTTCCTTTGTGGCAAGCGCTCCCCTCGAGCTTCTCCATACGAAAAATTTAAGCTTCGGGGGTATAGAGAGGCTCCAAAGCCACTTCCATCTACTCTTACTCTCCTCTGAAGCCCTTTCATTTGATCCTTGTGTATTCCTGGTTCGATTGTGGAAGACGTGAAAGGCTGACTTCACAGTGAAAGAACTTTGGTCAGAGAATCGCCATGCCCAGAAATCCTCCACGGACTCCGGGCCAAATGGGATGTCTGATCTTCTGTTGCTGTGATGAAGAATAGCAATACTCATATTCCATAATCTAGCAAGGTAACCTCGAGTCGAGTGTCTAGAGCTTCTTTTTTACTTGTACTGTTGCCTGGTTGTTTGGTTTTATCAAGAATTCAGTGTTGCGTAGGGCTGTCAATTTGGTTTGGTTTTTCGGTTTTAACTGAAACCAGACCATTAAAGGTTAAGGGTTTTGGTTTTTCGATTTTAAACCATTTAGCATATTAATGGTTTTGGTTTCGGTTAAAACCAAAAAACCGATTAGAATTTAGAACCCCTGTTTTCTTGAAGGACCCCTGATTTCTTTGAAATCGACCATGTTTTTGGTTTTTGGTTTATTGAAACCATTAAGGAGCTTATCGGTTTTTGGTCCAAAAACCGATAAGCTCCTTAATGGTTTTGGTTTGGTTTTTGTGAATATGCGTAATTTGGTTTTTGGTTTTCATGCTAATGGTTTGGTTTGGTTTTGGTTATCCAAATTGACAGCCCTGTTGCGTCACCTTTAATATCCCTGATCGTCTTTGGCAATTTCGACATGATTTAGGCTATCTGACCGGACTTGTCCGAATCATGGAGCATTACGTGGATCTTATCATCCAATGATCAGCATGTGAGCTTATGGGAGTCAGAAACCGGAATGGGTTAGGATGATTACTTATTTTTTAGTAATTACGGTGGCAACCTATTTATATACCATTTGATTAATTATTTTCCCTTGTTTTTTAATCTTACGGTCAAGATTCTCAAAGGGTAATTTTGAAAATTAAAAAGTGACCACACCTGATTATTCTATATAATCTACACAAACCCTAGTTCTATCCTCCCTCCAGCCAAACCCGTCGCAGCCGTCTCCACGTACCACTCCCGTCGCACCACAGGCAGCAGCCCCGGCCTCTCTCTCTCTCTCTCTCTCTCTCTCTCGGGACCTAACTGCTGCAAGCTCGTACCTGTAGCCCCGGCCTCTCCCTCTCTCTCTCCCTCCCTCCCTCTCGCTCTCTCTCTATCGGGACCTAACTGCTGCAAGCTCGTACCTGCTAGTTGATTCCTGCAATTGGGAGGGTCACCTTAACTGTCAAATCTTGTTCATTCTCTGTTAAAGAATTGGTACCAAAGATATGATTTTGGTAGCAGCCATATACAACCATAATAGACATAAAAACCTAGATCTGGTATTTTTTTTATTGATTCAATGTGCAGTGGTATTGGTTACTATATGCAATGGTATAGATTATTTATATTGGTAGTTTTCGTGTAATGGTATAGATTTATTTCTGCAATGGTATTGATTGTTTATGGTATAGATTGTTTATATTGGTAGTTTTCGTGTAATGGTATAGATTTATTTCTGCAATGGTATTGATTGTTTATGGTATAGATTGTTTATATTGGTAGTTTTCGTGTAATGGTATAGATTTATTTCTGCAATGGTATTGATTGTTTATGGTATAGATTGTTTATATTGGTAGTTTTCGTGTAATGGTATAGATTTATTTCTGCAATGGTAGTTTTCGTGTAATGGTATAGATTTATTTCTGCAATGGTATTGATGTTTTTCAAAGTGGTAGTGTTTGTCTGATGGATTGGTACTGATTTCTTGTTTTTTTTTTTTTTTTTTTTTGCAGAAAGATTGAGAAAAATATAGAAAGGAAATCTGGCTGGAGATTACGGAAGTGAGAGAAAGAGAGAATTTTAATTAATAGATTTTTGTAACTACCTAAAATGTAATTTATTAAAAAATTAATTAATATAATTTATTTTTCCATACCCAATTTACCCTTAGTAACCACGATGATTACTACTTTTGTAGTAATCACCGTAACCTGTCCCGTCAGAAACCTGTATGTGACTGGATTCTATGCTTCACTTGTTCTCTTCCCTGATTTTAGGTATCTCTGTCAACTAGAATTTCATCCTTAAATGTCGTGGATTCAAAAACTCTAAATGCAACAAAGATATGAAAGCAGTTATTTATGAGGAGATTCGCTAGTACTATGTAATGGATTAGAATAAAGTGTATACAGTTAATTGTTCAGTGACATTGGAAAGGAATGATCTGTCATTGTAACAGAATCATGTATACAATTAATTGTTTTCAATGATAATTATCCAACCATGATTTTGGTTCTATACATTTCTGTTATATACGAAATTAAATCATTTTTACTGTAATTTCAATTTACTTTTGGAGATATGATTGGGTGGTATTCATATTTTTCCTGACCAAATTTCTTCATTGTATTGAACTTTCATAACCAAAATTATTGGTTGTCCTTTGCTCTTATACGATCAAATTTATGGTTGTATTGTATTTTCATAAATAAAACAATTTGTTGTAAAAATGATTTAATTGGTTGTCGTACTAATTTTTCACGACCAAATTTTATGGTTGTAATGAATTTTTAAAACCATAAAAATTAGTCGTCTAAAATTATATGATTGGTTGCCATATGTACTGTTCACAACCAAATTTAATGGTTTTGACAAACTTCTATAACCAAAATAATTGGTTTTCATAATGATGTAATTGGTTGGCATTCGTAAATTTTCCAACCAAATTGAATGGTCGCCGGTAACACTTGGATGATTTCCACTTCGTGTTGAAAAATATTGGCTGTCATTAGTATTTTAGGCGACCAATCACACATATTTTGCCACCAATAATCGAAACCTATGACAATAAAAAAATTTACCATAGGCAAATTGGTTGCGATTGCTTTCCTTTTCGTCACCAATCACCAATTTGGTTGCGATAGGAATTAGTAACGCGGCTATAGCGACCAATTCTGTTATCAAAACTTTTATGTCACCAAAAAGTATTAGTGACCAATTTTCTGCTTTCAGTAACGGTTTATTTTAGTTGCAAAATGCCTTTTTTGTTGTAATGAGTACTCGTTATGATATTCGGAATTCAACTACGTACAAACTGCCATATTATGGCAAAAAACTTTTACTAGTGACAAAGTTGTCATTTTGTCGTAACAAAATAATTTGTCACAGTAGTGTGTATTATTCACCTTCTAGGTTATTGTTGGAGCCAACTAACAATGTGCCTCTCCCTGATGCGCTGCGTCCCACCAGTGATCCAAACCCTGCACGCAAAGGAACACCTTGAGCCCTTCGCAGGGCTCGTAAACACTCCAACGCCCAAGTCAGGACCCTTTTCTAGTGAGAGAAGTGAATAGTAATTCTAGAGAGAAGTTCTAACCTGAGTAAATGAGGTTCACCAACCCAACTATTTATACTCGGAGCTCGGCCGACCAACATCCTTCTCTTCCGCCCTTCGCCAGGCCCGCATTTAATGCACCGTACGACCAAGCACTATGCGCCTCGACCACCTGACTCTCTGTTCAGAAGATCGAGGCGCATGATGTCAGCTGGTCCCCGAACCCGTACATTTGGATCCCCTGTGGCTCTCTGTCGCACGCGCCCCATGTCAGAGCCATGGCCCCACCCGTCTGGAAAGGCCCCTTCCAGTCCATGGGCCAACTTCCTCCATGCCATTGGGCCCGCGGGGCCGGGCCCG